TATGCCTTTTTTTGTTTGTTCTTGATAGCTTAGGAAAATGCTAGAGTCGTTAAAAGTTGAGAACGAGAATCTTCGAGCCCGCGATGTGGGGAAAGTAACAGAAATCCTAACCTTAAGAATGGGTAAGTAAGTAAAGGGAAAGTATTGGCCTTTTATAAACTTGGCACTTACAACATGTTTGTGAAATATGTCTTTAATGTAATTCAAAAAAAGTGTCTGAAAATATAGCACGTATTTAGGATAAGAGTTGTGAAGCGTTATAGCTTGATTAAACTTGAATACAGCTTTTGTTTTTTAGACATACATTTTGCTGAAGATTTTATATCTGCGGCAAATAGTTACGCCCACATATAAAACATGCCTCATTTGTCGATTGTGGATTTCTTGTTATATTTGGACAAACTGTTCTGCGTGTTGACTCAATTATGTGCTTGAAAACTTTTTTCATGAAAAGCTTTTAATCTCACACTGCTTAAATTGATGTGCTTTTATTAGGACAATTGCTTCATTTTTCACCCCAGCGCGTTATTTCCTTGCAAGCCACTAAATCAGTTCTACGGTACTGCTTGGTTTTGCGTTTAATTGAGCTAGACCCCTGATCACAGTCGTGGTCACGTGTATTTAGTCAAAATCTATAGAACCATGTTGAAGATAAAGTGATGTGGGAATTGTGGAAATTTAAATCGCGATGGATTTATTGATGAGGTGGCTGACGCATTTCAAATCAATGTTGACACCGCTGAATCACGATCGAAAACTCGTCATTTTTCATCTAAAAACCTCTTTTTTTGTCCTGTGGCATTTAGCGAAACTTCATTTTACCATTGCTTAAGTCCCTGCATAAATTATAAATGGCTACCTGCTAAAAGTGTTGTGCGATCTTTACATTTCTGTGCGTAGTAGTTTTTGCTACTTGTCAGTTTCAAAATTACGCTTTACACAAATTACTTCCGGATTTCTACCATGCGTTCCTTTTTTTCATTTTCTCTATTTGTTAAAGGCGTTTCGTATGTTTTCTTGATTAGAATTTAGGTGACATTTCTGGGCTTAAAATGGCCAGAAACTTCTTCCTTTTCCTCTTTACTTAGATGGGGATGATGGAAATGACACTGGTTCAAATTCTGACGTCAATAGCATAGACAATGGGGCTTCTGGTATCAAAGCTAAGACGTCTACAGAAGAAATCAATACCACTCTTGACGTTTCAAATCGGTCAGAATCAGGCCGCACTTCCAGTAACTCTCACATTGTGAATGTTTCTGGCTTCGAAAGGCGGAATCGACAGGTGTTGAATCGTGTCACATTTGCAGTAAGTTGAATTCTTTCTTTCGCTCCTGTAAAATGCATTAAACCTCAAAATCCGTGTCCACAAATTTGTACCTTTTGGAAGTTGGAGTTCCTAAAAATGTCAGAGTATTATAAATTTCGGCGTTGTTCGTTCGTTTGAAAACCTACTCATGCAATGTTTGGCCACGATTGCATGCTCTGTGATCTGAGGATTTTCTCTAACACTTTAAACGGTAGATGAATAAGATGCAAGACATCGTCGACAGGTGGTCTGTCAAGGACACTACGGACTTTTTGGCAGCCCTCG